AAGGCCGCTGGAAGTAGGATCCGGGCAAAAAGCTCCACCGTGTCAAAACGTTCCAAACCCAGATCTCGAAGACTAAATGAGGATACAAGATCAAACTCAAACTCAAAATCTGTGTGTCATAAACTTCTACTCACCCATCCTCGGACATGCCCATGATCTGTCGGAAAAGTGCGGACACGCTTCGGAATTGGTACATGTAGATGACGATTAACACCAGCATAGAGTAGCCGACCACCACTGCCCAGAACATCTTCAGGTAGCGACGCCACAAGTCAAAACGAACCTAAATTACAGAAACATAGCATGACATCATAACATGGCAGCCGCATGTAAGCTTATGTTATATTATTAATTATTCTAATTTTATGTTTGAGCATCATATTCTTTCATGTTAGGATTACTTAAATTACATTCTGTTGTTTAATAATTGCTTAGACATGTATTTATGTTGATAGCTTCTGATTGGCTGTTGACGTAAGGAAAAGCAGGAAGTGATTTCGTTGCCGGGAAGAGAGTGTTTTCGATCGTACTGCGGTGCAGACGTCCTTTCAATAAAGCTGCGTTCAAACGGAATCCTTCTCTCCTTTTGCCGTTTCGTAAAGTAGAGCCATCCATTCAAAAACAACGAACCCCTCAATTTACATCATGAATAACACTGGACTCCTTTTGAAATACAAGCGGAAAGGAGAGCTTTAATGTGGGACCATGTTGATGAAATAACACTTTACCAAATAAAGTTTGTTGTAAATATTGCAATGCTGTAAATACCGGTAGCTACACTACAGTAAATGGTGTAACGGTCCCCTGGCCCAGGATGTTTATTTTATCTGCATTCCCGAAACGTTTTCTTTTTTTCATTTCCATGTTGACAAATTTTTCAGTAAGCAAAGGTAGATAGACAATTGCCACTATTTACTTTTTACATAGCACGTTTGTGAATTTCTTTAAGAAGAAACGTTGTGAATTAATTTAGAAAAACTGTCAACGAATCAATGATGGCTCATTAACGTTCCTGTTTATCTTTCAAGGAAGTACCGTCCCTATTCCTGAAAACAAATAGACCACAGGGTTGCTGACAGTATCCAAATGGAGAATTAATGGTGTCTTGTACCCACCACCTTTGCAGCCATTAGGGCTTTGTGTGCTAAGTGTGCAGCGTGTATCTAAAAGGTCAGCAGAAACATAAGAAGGGCGAGGAAAACCAGGAAAATGAGAGCAAAAATGGATGTGTGTGCATTTATGAGTTGAAATCAATAGAGAAGGCCACTTTGGGTATGTTTATGCCTTGCCTGGGTTTAGATACCATTGAAGACCTCCTGAAGAGCTGAAACTTTGTAAAAATTACTTAGATGTTAGTCTCATGAGGGGAAAAAAGAGCTGTGTCACAATTTCGGCCTTTATAAAAATAGGTAATACTCTTTAGACTGACGCTGTCAGAGATGATCATGGTTGTGGCTTTCAGTGTTATACAACTGTACTGCGTCATTCTGATTGAGAGACATTTGGACACAAATTCAGGTAACCAGAGCAACTCGAATAACACATTGGGGGTTGGATCACAGACCTGGTACAGGACGACGAAGGAGAGGAAGAGAACAATGTAAAGAATCTTGTAGACAACCACCTGAGCAAGTGATACATAGTCAAGATTAGATATGGTACATTTCTATTACGATCATATTTTCTATGCATCTATGACCACAAATTGAAACATGGTGGGCTTTATTGTTATGACCGGCGTATCTCTACGCAAAGATGGGTTAGACGGAAGACGTGCTGTTGGTAATTTCACAGATGAGTATAAGCCAGTGGATCTGTGATAGGGAGGACTGGCCGCCGTGGGAAGGCTCACTGTCGTCTTCAATCAAGGCCAATCAAATGCGGCTAATTAATGCGCCAAGCACTCGAGTTTCGATACGATGGAAGCACATCTGCGCTGTGAGGTGGACACTTCGAGACCACCCCTCACCACCGGTCATTCAGTTCGTGTGCCCCCCATAGCTGTGCCGCTCAGTGGAATGATTTTCAAAGTATCATAAAATGTTTCAGAGGATTTGAGGCCCACTGCTCACATATTTCTGAATGCAAAACATCGCATTTGACCAGAATGTCTCCGGTGCGCCAGCCACTTAGATTAAGTCTGAACAGGCGTAAGGTTTAGATCGGCTCTCTGCCACCAAACTGCAACTCTGCCAAGTGCATCTCCAAGATTATAATTCTGCTGCACCATCCCACCCAGCTTGGTTGAGGCTGTTCTGCGAAATTAGCGAACTAGTGCATGCAGCGAGACTTGCGTTGATACAAAAATCAGGATCCGCCGGCATTCGCGCCACCAGCGGATACGCTGCCTATTAAAATAAAGCCTTCTATGTGCATTGTTAGCCGACTGTACACCCGTTAGCCCCGTCAGATACTTGTAGCTTCTATTCTTAATTACAATAGAGTAGAATAATTACAGCCGACTACGAGCCAAATCTTTTTCCCGATAGGAAAAAAATATTTGAAGTGAGGCCTTTGTTTGTTCAAGCTGACCAAGCACTGAGAGGTCATCACTCTTTCAAGTTATTAGATACCAGTACAGCATTATTCAACCAGACCGAGCAAACGGCGTCAATTGTGTTAAACATCTCATAATCGTTAAAGTTATGTGCTATGAAGTAATTTCTTTAACGTGAGTTCTTTGGACTGTTTATTAGTGCATGTGTACCGTTCCAGAGAAGCTGACCACAAAGAACATGGAGCAACAGAAAAGGATCCAGTATTTAACCAGGACCCCTTTCACTCCTGAGATGAGCATGGCCACAATTGGTGACGGCTGGTTTTCTTCTGCTGAAAAAGGTCAAAACAAAGGATATTCAAACTTTTAACACACATTAAGTGATATGAACTCTCGGTGACAAACAAAGAGAATGAAATTACGTTGAATAACTTTGACTTCATCAAGTGAGCTGGCCTTCAGCCTCTGCTCCTCTTGTCTTTCCTTCAGCTGCTGACGAAACATCAACCAGAAGCTGAAGCTGTAGAAAACCTGCATACATAGCAACACTTCAGTCTTGGCAAAGATTGACGTTCTTCTCCACTTCTTCTTCACTCTAAACAACACCCAGTTTTAGGGTATCTTTACATTACCTTAGGTCCCAAGTGGATGCAGGGTGCAGGGTGATAACTATTCAGGTCAAAATCCGCGATGACAGCCGGGGGCAGACCCGGGTACAGCTCAGCCCGGCTCAGGCGCAACCCGCTGACAAAGCCCAAAACCACAAGGACGGTGCCATATACAGCCAGGAAGGGGGCCGACATCATGGCGTATCGCCGTCGGTCTCGCATCATCCAGATGATGCAGGACCATACCAGCAGGGCAAAGGTCAGCCAGTTATTGTAGGTGATACTCCACACCTTCAGAGCAGACAGGATGAATAGCACAAAAGTATTGCTGAAGTTAACTTATCAGGGTGTTTTTTTTTTGTTTGTTTTTACTATTTTTTTTTTGGACAGCTTCCATATTTCAAAGCGCGGCCCCGTTGCTGTGCAATGCTTTCACAAATACATTGGCTCCGCACAGATCAGTGCCAACTTAGCAACTAGGTGGCTATATTGAGCGATGTTTCCGAAACCTCCAGTGACTTTATTAAAAAAAAAAAACAAAACAAAACAAAACAAAAAAAAAAACATTAGGCTGATGGGTCGACTAAATGCTCAAGATTATTTGATTCAGGCTATTTTGACTGTTTCAGAGTAACTTTGCATTTCGTAGCAATGAGTCCATGAAATTTCCTGGTCAGGCTTACTCTACAGCGGACTAATGACATAATTAGAACACTAAAATCCATGTTAGATTTACTCCCTTGGACATTTGGGAACACTTTGGGGTTGTTCTAGATACATCCACTCAATTACAAATCTATTTATAATTCATAGTTGATCGCTGACTTCCTACCATCATGATGATGAGGCCGCTGACATAGCTGTGTTTTTGGATCAGTCTACCAAAGATGACCAAACCACTTGGCCCTGAGTCGGGAGGAGACATTTCGGTAAGAGTTGCCAAGGACTGGTCCGTCCTTTCCATTTCACTTTGGCTCTCTGTCTCAAGTAGAAGAGATGAACAAAACAGGCAACGATATTATCAGGTATTTTTAACATCCAGGGCAGCAATAAACTAAAAAAGAAATGAAGACATCCTTTGATGTATTCGATTGTGTGTACCAGGTGTTGGCAAATTTATCCCTTCATACTGTGGGAGAGGATAACAGTTGGTATATCCGGCACCCCCCAGCAAGCTTCCTTGATCCTCTCCATAGACACCTTGCCATGAATGATCCCTCATTAAGATCATTGGCTTTGGAAAGAGAATATGCATAGTGGTGAAAATTAGGACCATGCAAGTATTGTTTGTGTGGACAAAAGAACTCTAAATTCTAACATTTGCACCTCATTTGGTAGATAGGTTTCCTCCTCTGTGCTGCTCAAAAGCTGAAATTAGGGAAAAACACGTTCTGGATCATTTCTTTGAACTGGTTCGACATCCCAGTAAATGTTTGGATGGAAATAGTGCCAAAATTACTAATTGATAGCAAACTTCTATTTAAAAAAAAACAACAAAAATCATGCAAATCCTAGTCTACTTTAACCAAAATTATAATGGACTGAATAATGAAATCAAATAAGTGCGATGCAGTAACATACTTTACTACTTAGTTCATTTAAGTAGTATATAATGTTAAAAAAACAACAATTAAAACATACATTATTGAATGCAAACATTCATTACGTCTGGCAAAAAGTGACTATTAAAGTATAAATTCTGTCTGAAATGATTGATAATTCTCATTTAAGTGTATGGATAATAAAACAAGACAAAAACCTCTTGGGAATCAACAATGAATACTGCTGTAAACACAAACGAAAAAATATTCAACAGAATTGGATAGTTCAGTAGTATGAGCATGCATGCACACAAGTCGTATCAAAACCAAAGAACGCGATTTGAAGTAACTAATTCAGGATAAACCCATGGTATAAAGACAGTGCGTGGTGTTTACATCATGCTTATCTCCTGAGATGTACACCACTCTGGACAAACTTGGCGGAGTATCTGGAGTGTAGAGTGCACTCTCATCACAGTCATCATTATCCTAAAAAAAAAAAAAAAAAAAAAAAGTAAACACAACAACTGATAACCTTAAAATAAATTAATGCTCAACAGGGAATGCTGTTGTTAAAAAATGTTTTTAGTGTTTTAATTACAGTAATACAGTGTCGTATGGAGTTGGAATATCTATTAGTCAAAAAAAAAAATCTGTGCTCTCAGGTATTCTGGCTTCCTAGTTCCAAAAATATGCATGTTTAATTCGTTGAAGGCGTAGTTGTGTTAATCTCAGAATGAATTTGACAGCTGACTCGCCGGGGTGTATACCGACTCTTGCCCAAAATCAGAAGAGATATGCGTCGGCTCACTCATGACCATGAGCAAATACTGTATAAAGATATAGAAGTGCAATGTCCCACTCTATCCAGAAGATGGTACTGTTGTTAAAAAGAAAAAAAAACACTGGAACAGTACTAACTTCTGTTTTATAGCGTAAATCAAATGAGAAGCTTCGTTTACAGTATAAGCACCCTTGTCTTCTTCTTTTCCTTTTGGCTACCCTTGTCTCATAATGATTATTGTCCTATTGGGAACATTTTAATTTCATGAGCGAGCGTTACACTACGTTTTTTTCCTGTTGTCTCTCCCTGCCTTTTCTCTGCTGTGTGGGGCAGTGAAATTAGTATCGGTAGTGTAATGCCCCCCCCCCCGCCTTTTTTTTTTTTTAAACTATAGGCTTGGTTCAAAAATAATTGTGCCCTACAAATTCAGGATCAGAACCAGAATGGGAATAGTTTTATTGTCATTCAATTATTGTCTTTCTTGTCACAGTGTGCAACTAAGTGGAAGAGACAGAACGTCTCCAAGAGACATAGCAAAACAACGTGGGGAGCGAAAAAAACCTATATCAGACTAAACTCCTCGAAGGGAAGCAGAAAAAAACAATCCCAGACTAAGCTCAAAGAAGGGGAGCACAGAATGAATTTGAACGGTGTGTTACGATGCTCCTAATTTTTTTCCATTAAGTTTTTGAGATGATTTGTTAGAATTATTGCAAACATGTTTATTTACCTTAGCCAAGCAACACAAAGATAAACACAATGTCGACCAACCTCCTCTGTGATATGGATCCATTTGTGCAGCAGCGTAACCAGAGTGTAATACAGCAGCAGCAGGACAAAAGGGTTGATGAAGTCAGGCCAGCTAACGTTGGGCTGCAAACCGAGCATGTGTGGGTCAGAACTGTTGGTTCGAATCACTCCTGTCATTCCGAACAACCTGAGACATGGACAGACATCCAAGAGGATAAGTAAAACACAACAGTGAAATCTGCAATTAAATATCAATACACTTTTTGGATAGCGGCGTACCTTGCATATATATCATCAGGTGGCACCATCTGCTGGGACAGAGGCAGCTGGTAGACGTAGAGCGCTAGAAGGTGCCCTCCACTGAAGATGGTCATCATCACACAGAGGGCGCTGAATAGAAGCAGACTCATTGATCTGCCAATCACCCACCACCACACCAGTCCGAGGAATGTCCCAAAATATACACCAGAGGTGAGGGACGGAAGAATGATACCTGGGCATATACACATACAGTATGAAAACAATGTAATATCACATTCAAGCGTTCACCAGAATGCTAACTTTATGGACAAATATATTGCTGTCATGTTGTTTTGTGCTTCCGTCATGGGTTTTGTTTATATCTTATTTTGGTTTACTGCGGTTTTCAGAACTTTATTTGTGTTTTGGATTTAGTTTTTCCAGTTTACCCATGCAAGAATTTGTTGTTAAGACATTTTGTCTTAACTCCGTGGTGTTCCTGCCTCCAAGGTTTCTGGGTCTTCTACCATCACAAACAATAGAAGCTGTTACGGCTGTGAAGGGGGACCAATTACAGATTTTCACTTTATAAAATTATAATTAGCCATGTCCCAATTCTGTTGTCTTTACAGTGCACCTGCTGCACTTTACCTGCTAGTCCCAATAGCAAAGTGACAACCACTTTCCCTGCTGTGTTGATGATGGCTGACAACAGTAGTCTAAAGCCGGCCGCAAACATCAGCAGCTTCTGAACAAACTGAGGTGGAACGGACTCAACCGGTACCGTGCTCTCATCTGAGCTGTCAGAGGATTCACTCCCTCCTTCGGACTCTGTGTCAGAGGTCTCCAGGTCCTGCCAGACCACAAAGAACCAAGGTCATGTCCCTGCTGATTCCTGACTCACTTTACCTTCCTGACTCCTTACCTCAGAGTCAGAGGGAGGGATCCCATTTTCATGGAGATTGACCTGAGGTGCAGCTCGTAGTAGCTTTTTGCAGAGTCTTTGTATTGAGAGAGTGGAGACTAGAAGCCCCACATCTGGTGCCAGGAGGCGGACAATGTTCCCTGGATCGACCGAACTGAATCTAGGAGCAAAAATTGATTTACACAATTACAATGTTATTAAGTTTTTTTTTTTTGTTTTATTTTTTTTTTGTTTTTTTTTAGTAGGAGAACTTATAAACTTGACCACATCTCAATTTGTATCATTTGGAATTCAACCAAAACCTTAGTGGCAAAATACCGGTAATCAAAACTCGGGACCTCATGCACCTTACAAGACCTCATTTATGTCAGCATTTAAAGATAAACTCTGTACCGCTAAGTGTTTTTTATTTGTCTTTTGCTTTTCTTGTTGCAATAGTAATTCCAAAAGAAGGAACATCCTCTCCAAGGTTTGTTAAGAGAAGGTCAACATGAACTGAATATACAACACAAGTTACCGAAGAAAGCGTGGCAATCATCATACATCACTGCACTTGTTATCAAAATTAAAATGAGGTATTTTATTCTAAACTACACGTACCATATGATGGGGGGGGGGAGCAAATCAATTAAATATACGAGATGCAGGTTAAGTTAAAATGTACCTCCGGCGGCCCGTTTCAAGGTAATGATGGGGAAACAGACCATTTCTTGTCGGCAAGTATGGCTGCATGCATTAGCTGTTATAACGCCTCGACAAAAAGGTTCCATGAACTAAATATCATAAGCTTGCTTTGATTCAATCAGCGTAACCAAAAACGTGCTTGGATGCAGTTTTTCTTGGTGAACGCGATGTATTTTTCTTTCTGACCACCACAAATACACTTCGAGTTGGTGTTTTATTGTTTATGTCATTGTAATATTCACAGTGCTTAACTTATTTTTAAGCTCGTGTAAATGTTGAAAGCCAGAAGGCCTTGAATGTGATCTCATACCTCACAATGCCCACATGGTAGAGGAAGTCCTCCCAGTAGCCACTAACTGTTGAAAAGATCATCAGGTGAAGCACAAAAGCTGATCAAGACAGTTTGAGCTGGCAGTCAGTCATTTTGGAATACTGAAACAATCGCTCGTGTTTTACTCTACCCTGTGGGGTGATGTAGGCAAATGGGATCTGCATGAAGCACTGTAGCGTGAGGAACATCAAACTAGCGTAGATGATCCTCCGCAGGAACTGTCCCGTGTTCCCTTAAGAAAAAAAATAAAGAAGTGGTATGTAAAGTGGGGTACAATATTCTTCGATCCATTTTCAAACACCACTTATCCTGTTCAGGGTTGTGGGGTGCTGGAGCCTATCCCAGCGGACTTCAGGTGAAAGGCGGACTCCATTCTGAGCTGGATGCCAGTTAGTCGCAGAGTGCACATCGGGATAAACACCTGCACTCACATTTACACTGAGTGGGAAGTGAACCCACACTCCCTGCACGCAAGTGAGTGAACCACTACACCACCAGTGACTTCAGGGTTGAACACATTTAAATTAATTTACACACAATAATTGCAAGTGTAAAATTAGCGGCAGGTGTACACACACTAATAAGTTGATAGTTAACCTACACCTATATTGAAGTACAAAAACCAGTTTGAAAACAAAATACTCTGGGAAAAGTAAAAGTACTATTTCAACCATATTGAATGACCTAGAGTACATGCATACTATCTGTACTGTACTGTATATATACTGTCAATTACATACATTACTCATTCTGACAACTTGGCACAATGAAAACAAAACACAAAGTAGTTACCCCCTATACTATGCTATACTATACTATACTTCAGTGCTCATATTGAGAAGAAGAAAAAATAAAACATCATGGAACGTGTCACATTTTGTTAAGCGCTACAGCATAAAGCGGTGGCTCAACTTTAATGCAATCAAAATATGTTCTCATAGCTTTGCTAACGTTGTGGTCAGTATAATTTTACCCTTGTATTATTTTGATGAAAGCCTACCATGGGCATCTTATTAAGAAACGGGAAAAAATGGGTTTGACATTTACTCTCTAGGCACAAAAGTACCGAAGGAGCCGTTTCAATAAGGGGTGTTAAAAAAATTCTAAGGGTCAAAATAAGAACATACAAAGCTACACAAAGCAGGCAAAGTAGCAAATTTATGTTCTAAGCATGAAGACATACTAGTGTATATGTTGTTATTAGTGTTACGGTAGCGTTCTAGTGTAGTTCAATCATGTTTGTTTGTTTTGTTTTTTTTTTTACGCATGTGTGACATAGCTATAGAATGGCTAATGTTATTCGCAATGTAGTTTGTTGTTAAAATTTAAGAGCGGGTGTTTTAGTCTTTTCATAACAGTTTGGCTTACATAATAATGGAGTCAGTTTGACCCTTTAACAGAATCTTTTGACATTTAAATATTGTTCGCCCCCATGTCTTGGAATGATTTTTATTGGACTTTGAGAGGTCTCACTGTAGCTTGGTAGTGCGTTTCTAAAGAGAAAGTTGAATCCATTCTACATAGTATTAATGATTCTGGCTGAGCCAGCAAGTTTGTTATTGATGTTCAGTTTTTTTTTCCCTAAAAGCTTCATATCACTCGAAACGCTCTCCTATAAACCGTATGTATGCATCATACGT